ACAAATAAAAGTACAACTAAAATTACTAAGGGGGGAGAAAGAATAAGAAATTGTCGCGTTATCCTAGGCCATAGAATGACTTAAGGATTACCAAGGTAAATTCAAGGTTACGACAAATTGTTTTTGTACAGGAAATCAATTTGGACGGGACAATACTTAAATTTCTATAGTTTCTGTCCATTGCAATACAAGAGAGTTCTAGTTAAGTGCCTCTTTAAGAGGACTCGAAGAATATGTACCTCTGATATGGTGGAAAAAGATGAAAAGTTACTGGCTGACACTTTAATAGCAAATGGTTATCCACTCAAGTTTATTAATAGGTGCAAAAGTCAGTTAATGCCAAGACCTCTAATTTATTCAGTGCCAAAGAAAAAGGTTTACATCAATCTACCATATAGAGGCGAATCAAACAGTATAGTTTTAAGGCAGAGATTGAAAGGAGCCATTGAAAATACGTATTATGCTGCTCAGTTGGTAGTGATTGAAAAGTCTAAGGCCATGATTCATAAAAGACCCAAACAATGCACTAATGATTACGTCAAATCCCATTGTATTTACCAATTTACATGTTTGTGCGGACACACATACATAGGGAGGTGTAATCGAACAATGCAATCAAGGGTCAATGAACATGTGCCCAGATGGCTTCAAAATCAATGTGTGTCAAGTGATCCGATCAATGTAGGAGGTAGAAAACCAAGTTCATCGATAGCGAAACATATAATTGAGACGGGACATAAAATTGACATTAATACAGCATTTAGAACGTTGTATAGAAATTGTCAAGGACGAATTCTTAAGTTTATTGAAGCCTTAGCTATTCGTAAATTCACCCCCCCCTTATGTGTACAAAAACAATTTGTCGTAACCTTGGATTTACCTTGGTAATCCTTAAGTCATTCTATAGCCTAGGATAACGCGACAATTTCTTATTCTTTCGCCCCCCCCCCCCTTAGTTATTTTACTTGAACTTTTATTCGTTTGTTTGACCTTTATTAATTTTCATTTAAAAAAGCCTTGACAAGTATATGTGTGACCAGATTGTTCGAAATGTATAGCGCAAATACATCACTCCGTCTTCTCATTGTTCTATCGAAACTCTTGACAACTGATGCTTAGATTCAAAGTAACACCGTTTTTGTGTAATGGTGAATATATTAAAGCAATAGTTTTTTTTAATATTGAGTATTGATTTGTGATTTTAGACTGCCTATTACCATCATGGTTTCATAAAAATGTTGTTTATAATTGAGCAAGAGGATTCTACTGTAAACGCTAAAGATTTCATACTTAATTATCGAATGTAGTTGTGGTTCCATAACATGGATAAAAGAATTTTCAAAGGGTTGTTTGAATAACATTTTTTGTTTATTGAAAGGGACTAGAGATTTTCTTTGTCATAAACTGATGTAGGCACTACAAATTATATTTTTACTATTTAGTGCTTTATTATACAAATTCAATGAATTACTCTCAGTTGGCAACAATTTACAATCAAACTTTCATTTGGCAACATTTTGTTTTGCAAATGCTCCATGAATTTCAATCTGAATTGTGGATACAATTAATAAAATATTTTTTTTTAATTTTTCTAAAAATTAGTCTTCCTGGCTATTTTATACTCCCTTACTACTTAGATATAAATCACCAAAGATCACTGTTTCAGCTTAGACATTATCAGTATTAAATGAACAGATTATTCATTAACAATGATAAATTCAAGCAACTAGTATACTAGTTCCTTAACTTGGAATCCTGAAGGAAAGCGGAAAAGATGAAGGTTGAAGAATAGACTACATCGTGAAATGGAAGCAGATGTAAAAAAGAATGATTAGAAAGTTGAAACAACTGGAAAGGATTGCCCAGGTCATGGTTGGATGGAGAGTGCTGGTGGGCGGCCTGTGCTCTTCCACATAGGGAGGTGTAATCGAACAATGCAATCAAGGGTCAATGAACATGTGCCCAGATGGCTTCAAAATCAATGTGTGTCAAGTGATCCGATCAATGTAGGAGGTAGAAAACCAAGTTCATCGATAGCGAAACATATAATTGAGACGGGACATAAAATTGACATTAATACAGCATTTAGAACGTTGTAAAGAAATTGTCAAGGACGAATTCTTAAGTTTATTGAAGCCTTAGCTATTCGTAAATTCACCCCCCCCTTATGTGTACAAAAACAATTTGTCGTAACCTTGGATTTACCTTGGTAATCCTTAAGTCATTCTATAGCCTAGGATAACGCGACAATTTCTTATTCTTTCGCCCCCCCCCTTAGTTATTTTACTTGAACTTTTATTCGTTTGTTTGACCTTTATTAATTTTCATTTAAAAAAGCCTTGACAAGTATATGTGTGACCAGATTGTTCGAAATGTATAGCGCAAATACATCACTCCGTCTTCTCATTGTTCTATCGAAATTTTTAAAAGGGACTAATTGCTTTAGATTTAACGATAACAATAATCACTATTTCAGGATAAATTAAACTCACTCTTCATCATTCCTATGAAATTGTTTGTGATATATTGTCCTTTTTGCCTTTAGTTTACTTAGTTTCACTAGCAATCTCACTAACTACTTACTTTGACAGACTTTTGATGCATTGTCAATATTGACTTATTAAACTTGATCGGATCAATTGTGTACAATTAAAAAACGTGTAATGATAATAAACTAAGATTGATTGTAGTGATTTTGTTGGTTTGTGTGCCACACCTATCCCGAAGGTTTTCAGCAGTCTCGTTGCAGTTTCTGATATTCCTTGTATGTACGGTAGGGTGATCCTTTTACTGATTTTTGTGCTTGACTTGGGTTGTGATGCTGTGTGCCGTTGGTGCTTTTTGATGAAGTTGATTGGGTAGCCGTTCTTTTGAAATATGTCCTTCAGGTATTTCTCTTCATTTCTTCGTGCTGCCAGTGTGCTGCAGTGTGTCCCCGCCCTCTTGAACAATGTGTGTACGCAGTTGATTTTGTGAGCCCTTGGGTTGTTGCTGTTGTAGTTGAGAATTTGATCTGTATGGGTTGGTTTCCTATATACTTGAGTTTCCAGTTTTCCTGTATCAGTTCTAGTGATCAATATATCCAAAAATGCTAGTTGGTTGTTTGACTCCTGTTCCATTGTGAACTTGATGTCATTGAAGACGTTGTTGATCAATTTGTATGTGTTTTCCAGTTCATCCTTTTTGACGATGACGAAGGTGTCGTCTACGTAGCGAATCCAAATTTTTGGCTTGATCACTGGTAATATCGTGGCTTCTAGTCTTTGCATCACTGCTTCTGCGATCAGTCCTGATATTGGCGATCCCATTGGTGTCCCTTTTGTTTGTTTGTAGATTTTGTTGTTGAATTGAAAATATGTTGTTAGGCATAAATCGATGAGCTCCAGTAGACTTTGAATTTGAAGCGTCGTGTATTTGGTGAGATTTGTGTCGTTGTTGAGTAGCAGGGATATAGTTTCTTTTGCTACTTGTGGTTCAATTTACTATGCTGTATGATATATTTCTGTATCCAATACTTTCACACTTGTTCAACTAAATATTTATTCATTATTTTATGAATGAGATCAAACAGATGATGTCACATTGCACGATTTTATTACTACTATCCAAATATATATTCCAAACAATCCAAGACTATAACTTGCCATATTTCGTAAAATATGTTATTATGCAACAAATTTTACATCTCAATATAAACTGAAAGTTTTGCAAATTTCAAAATAAATCATATCTAAACAATTGTAGAATTAAGATCAGCCTGGTGGAGAAGATTTGTAGCTCATGTGGATGATTTTGATGGTGTTTTGTTCTCTGAGCTGGATGGTTTAGTCGTGGAGCCGCTAGTCGTGGACAAACTGTGAACCACATGTAAAGGAATTCGAACACTTCAGTTCTACCTTAAGTCTCTGCTGATGGTGTCATTCACAAGAACGATGAAGGTTCCACGATCAAACCATACAGTTCAGAGAATAAAACTCCATCAAAATTAGATCAGCTTGTTTGGTTTACATGAAAAAGGAACGTCTAAATAAACATAAAACGACTGATTAGGCAATAAGTCAGGTACACTCAACTTCAATTTACGTAACTAGACTTTACTCATGTCAAATGTCAGTATAAACACAAGTATTCAGTTTTTTCTGAAAATCTATCAGTTGTTTTAAATTAATATTTAGGTACTGTAGATAACAAGAATGAATAATATTGACCTTTGAATCAAATCTGACTTCCTGTCCTGTCTCAATAACCTTTAATTGTTTAAATAATAGCAAACATTTTATCTGTTTGAATTTTCTGATAAATTGTTTGTAATCTATGATAGCTGTGTAGTATACTTTTCTTACGGTACCTCATTGATCCTTAGAAATACTACTATTAGTTTTATATTCCTTTATCTATGTATAACATGGTATCCAGGGTTTTTCTGAAATGAATGTGAAATCAACATATAAGGTACTAATAATTCCAATGACATAAAATAGGAACCATTGAAAACAAATGTTCGAAAAAAGTAATTTTGACAAGTAACTGTGTAAGTTCAATCGGCAGTTTTAAAAGTATTACAATTTAACCTCCAGTTTGATATTGAATAGAAATCTTTCGAAAAAACGATTGTTAATGGCAAGTATACAGAGCCAATCATTTAATTTTTAAATTAGATTCAAGCGAAAATAAGACAAATCAAGAGTTCACGTGTGAGACCGAAGGTTCTGGGTTCGAAACCCGCGCACGAAATCGTGGATATGCATTGCTGAAGAAGGAAACGACTATCCAATGCTTCTAGGTTCTCATTGGTCTTCCAACATTGATCAATTCATGATCTCTATTAAAACTCAACATTCTCCATAACCTTATACTGATATGAAATTGTTTTTCATTTTGCAACATTTCCTATTCACATTTTCGTTCACATTTCTTCTCAATAGATTATCTCAGTAAGTCAATGAAACTATAAAAGAAAACTGGTAGAAACAGTTTTAGTAAGCTAGAGAAAACAAACAGTCCTATTGAAGCTAGACACAATCATACATTGATTGGCTGTAAATGTTTAACCAATCTAGTTTGAATGAATGTTAAACTAAATTTATTTAGAAAATGTAGTAATCTATTTGATTTGATTTGGTCATTTATTCAAACTAACCAGTTGAAAGAATCTTTGATAAATTCAAACAAAAGTTGATATGAAATGGATCTAACTATTCAACATTTAACATTCTTTATTATTCAAAGTTTAATTATTTTATTTATTATTATTATCACATCATTTGATTCATTGGTGTACAAAGAAAAATTCACAAATCTTCCATTTGGTCGATGTCATTTAAAACATTTCAATAAATTAGATTCAATAAATTGTCCAAATAAATCATGTAGTCAACATATTGATTGTTGGGTTAGTTATGGTCCATCACAAAGATGTGTTTGTGATCCAATCAAATGTGGATCAGTATGCTTACAAGGTAAGAAAATGTTTAACAAGGATTATATTCATTTATGTCACGTATTTAAGATTACTGGTTGATTTGAAGCTTTGTTTTTAGATTAGTCAAAGCAATGAAGTGAATCAATAGGCATACAGTAATGGTTTATTCCTATGAATGAGACATTTATACTTACAAATAGTTTTTTTGACTATTATCCATTAGTTGGTAAAACGTTTTACGATTTTTGATTGAGATCATGAACCGATTGATGTTAGAGCACGAGCGAAAACCCGGAAGCACTGGATGACCGTTTCGTTCTCAACAGTGCGCATCCACAATCCCACTCGCAGGATTCGAACTCAGGGCCTGCAGTCACGCGCACGGACGCTTAACCTCTAGATCACTATTTGATATCACATGGTAAGATGACAGTTTACGAAGGTCTGGACTTGAAATCCTGAAAACAATCGATTTCGTGCAAGATAATCAAATATATGCTGTTTACTTTAAGAGTATTTTTTTCATTTGAGGCTATACATGACAAAATGGGACAAAAAATTACTAAATAATACACAAAATTACCAGATTTTTGACTGAAATTCTGTTATATAGTTGACCTATTTTCTGTTGATAAACTCAGAGTTGTACACATTATTTTCTCAGCTTTGTATTAAGGGGAAAACGACATTTTAATCCTGTTGTCAGTTATCTTCTGACAGAAAGTGTATTGTAAAATAGTTCTAATCAATGATTGGAATTAGCTGGAAAGTTGTTGATAAAAACAAGTCAGAAAACACCTGATTCATTGTAGCTTTATCGTATTTCATTCAAACTTTAATAAACAATTTTTTAGTGCTTTATGGTTTCTAAAAATCACTACCTAAAGGTGACTTCACATTGTTTTATCTCCGAATTCACTTATGCTCAATATGGTGTGTATAAGCTTTCAGCGATATTCACGAATGATGGTATGGAATTCATTGTTCTTCATATATCACGCAATTTATTAAACTTATTCTAAATTTTCACCCAAACTAACCTTTTAAGAAAAGTCAAGATCTGATTAGTTTCAAATTACTGTTCATACGTGTTCAATTGAAACTGTCTGCTTTCTCATCTCTTCAAGATATTTTTGTCTCTATAATGTCATGCTTTCAAAAGAATGACTATTCTTCTGTATTTTCTAATTGAATGTTTTATTTGTATTCATCATTTATGATTTTTTCTTGTTAAGTACTTTCTGTTCAAATCACTTAACTACTTAGTAAACTACTTAAATCTCAGGCCAATGGAATATCCAATATTTTCATCTCCTATTTCACCTTTGAATCGTGTACGTACTATTTAATCGCAAAATACACTCCAAAACGTTTTTGGAATGCATAGAATCTGTCATGATCCTTAATACTAAAATATAAGACATACACAAGTAAGATAGATGAAACTGAAATTTTGTGCCCAGACATTTTAATTGTAATCAAAGATAGAGCATTTAAAAAAATCAAATGCTATTCTGATCATTGTTGGAGAGATCCAAAAAACTATTCGTAATAAAGCCAAGAAAGGTTTTGAAAACACTGAGAAGCATCTTATCCAATCAGTGTTTACTAGAAGTTTTGCCAGAAACATCTAGAAAGTGAGAGGTCACATATTAAGTGTCTGTTTGGATGATTACTTATACTGCTACTATGTTTAGTAGCATTCCAGAATTTTCCAGAAACCCAAAGACATCCAAACTACTATAAAAACCCTAGATTTTCTGTACATAAACGAACTTTTGGAGAAAGCGTTTTTTTTTTCAATATTTTGCGCCTCTTCTCTGATGTTCAAGTTGCTGTGTAGATTTAGCCTGAGGGTTACTGGAAGAGCTTAAGAACCAAAACTAGCGTTCAATTAGGAGACTTATCAATCATAAAATGCGATCATTATATACGTCAAACTATTTATTGTTTGCAGAATGCATTTTCGTATTAAAGATAGTTACTCCTATCAACTGATGTCATGTGTAAAGCTGATGTAAAATAAGTAGAAATACAGTTGTTTTGTACTAACTTATCATTTGTTAAAGCCTCTTATAATTCATTTAATCAAATGTTTAGAGTTAGGTAAATATTTTATAACTTTCTTTAAATAATAATACTGATGATCATTACTAGGTTTTACTAAAATGACAAAATTACATTTCAGTCAATAAACGCTTTCAATACGATACAAATATTCGTCAAGATTAGAACGAATAGTTTGACAGAAATTGAGCGCCGAGTATAGAGAAGACATTTTATATGAAAATTATGTAACAGCTCAGGTTGGTTGGTTAAGAGTTGACCCCAAACAACCAAGCTTATGCCAAAACAGTATTGTTCAAGTATTCATTCACTTCCTTATTTTGTATAAGCGTTATATCCCCTATTATCATATATTGAATGTTGAGAGCCTTTGTTTGTCTGAACAGATAATCCCACGCTCCACTGTGACTGCGCGAAGATCGAAATAAAGACCTATTCACTACTTGTCTGGTTTCTTCTATCAATAGCACGAGGGTTACCTTAAGGCACGAAAATTATACTTGAAATAATCTCAGTTATTGAATTTTAAAAATAATCTCAACGTTTCGTCCAGCTAACTTGTTTGGACTTCTTTAAGGTAGAATAATCAATATTAAAATCATCAAAGAAATATATGGAGTGAAATAGGAGATGAAAATATTGGATATTCCATTGGCCTGAGATTTAAGTAGTTTACTAAGTAGTTAAGTGATTTGAACAGAAAGTACTTAACAAGAAAAAATCATAAATGATGAATACAAATAAAACATTCAATTAGAAAATACAGAAGAATAGTCATTCTTTTGAAAGCATGACATTATAGAGACAAAAATATCTTTAAGAGATGAGAAAGCAGACAGTTTCAATTGAACACATATGAACAATAATTTGAAACTAATCAGATCTTGACTTTTCTTAAAAAGGTTAGTTTGGGTTAAAATTTAGAATAAGTTTAGTAAATTGCGTGATATATGAAGAACAATGAATTCCAAACCATCATTCGTGAATATCGCTGGAAGCTTATACACACCATATTGAGCATAAGTGAATTCGGAGATAAAACAATGTGAAGTCACCTTTAGGTAGTGATTTTTAGAAACCACAAAGCACTAAAAAATTGTTTATTAAAGTTTAAATGAAATACGATAAAGCTACAATGAATCAGGTGTTTTCTGACTTGTTTTTATCAACAACTTTCCAGCTAATTCCAATCATTGATTAGAACTATTTTACAATACACTTTCTGTCAGAAGATAACTGACAACAGGATTAAAATGTCGTTTTCCCCTTAATACAAAGCTGAGAAAATAATGTGTACAACTCTGAGTTTATCAACGGAAAATAGGTCAACCATATAACAGAATTTCAGTCAAAAATCTGGTAATTTTGTGTATTATTTAGTAATTTTTTGTCCCATTTTGTCATGTATAGCCTCAAATGAAAAAAATACTCTTAAAGTAAACAGCATATATTTGATTATCTTGCACGAAATCGATTGTTTTCAGGATTTCAAGTCCAGACCTTCGTAAACTGTCATCTTACCGTTTGATATCAAATAGTGATCTAGACGTTAAGCGTCCGTGCGCGTGACTGCAGGCCCTGAGTTCAAATCCTGCGAGTGGGATTGTGGATGCGCACTGTTGAGAACGAAACGGTCATCCAGTGCTTCCGGGTTTTCGCTCGTGCTCTAACATCAATCGGTTCATGATCTCAATCAAAAATCGTAAAACGTTTTACCAACTAATGGATAATAGTCAAAAAAACTATTTGTAAGTATAAATGTCTCATTCATAGGAATAAACCATTACTGTATGCCTATTGATTCACTTCATTGCTTTGACTAATCTAAAAACAAAGCTTCAAATCAACCAGTAATCTTAAATACGTGACATAAATGAATATAATCCTTGTTAAACATTTTCTTACCTTGTAAGCATACTGATCCACATTTGATTGGATCACAAACACATCTTTGTGATGGACCATAACTAACCCAACAATCAATATGTTGACTACATGATTTATTTGGACAATTTATTGAATCTAATTTATTGAAATGTTTTAAATGACATCGACCAAATGGAAGATTTGTGAATTTTTCTTTGTACACCAATGAATCAAATGATGTGATAATAATAATAAATAAAATAATTAAACTTTGAATAATAAAGAATGTTAAATGTTGAATAGTTAGATCCATTTCATATCAACTTTTGTTTGAATTTATCAAAGATTCTTTCAACTGGTTAGTTTGAATAAATGACCAAATCAAATCAAATAGATTACTACATTTTCTAAATAAATTTAGTTTAACATTCATTCAAACTAGATTGGTTAAACATTTACAGCCAATCAATGTATGATTGTGTCTAGCTTCAATAGGACTGTTTGTTTTCTCTAGCTTACTAAAACTGTTTCTACCAGTTTTCTTTTATAGTTTCATTGACTTACTGAGATAATCTATTGAGAAGAAATGTGAACGAAAATGTGAATAGGAAATGTTGCAAAACGAAAAACAATTTGATATCAGTATAAGGTTATGGAGAATGTTAAGTTCTAATAGAGATCATGAATTGATCAATGTTGGAAGACCAATGAGAACCTAGAAGCATTGGATAGTCGTTTCCTTCTTCAGCAATGCATATCCACGATTTCGTGAGCGGGTTTCGAACCCAGAACCTTCGGTCTCACACGTGAACTTTTGATTTGTCTTATTTTCGCTTGAATCTAATTTAAAAATTAAATGATTGGCTCTGTATACTTGCCATTAACAATCCTTTTTTCGAAAGATTTCTATTCAATATCAAACTGGAGGTTAAATTGTAATACTTTTAAAACTGCCGATTGAACTTACACAGTTACTTGTCAAAATTACTTTTTTCGAACATTTGTTTTCAATGGTTCCTATTTTATGTCATTGGAATTATTAGTACCTTATATGTTGATTTCACATTCATTTCAGAAAAACCCTGGATACCATGTTATACATAGATAAAGGAATATAAAACTAACAGTGGTATTTCTAAGGATCAATGAGGTACCGTAAGAAAAGTATACTACACAGCTATCATAGATTATAAACAATTTATCAGAAAATTCAAACAGATAAAATGTTTGCTATTATTTAAACAATCAAAGGTTATTGAGACAGGACAGGA